GTGGTCCCAGATTAACCAAGTCTGCAGAGTGCTTCAGCCTGGTGCCTGGTGGTTGGGGATGCGGCATCTGAACACAAAGCTCTCCTCAATCCCGTCCCTTCTGTCACACTCCTCATTGAGCAGTGCGTTCTGTTTCCTTTGAAACAGCAAGTATTGACACTATGGCAGTGTTTGTGCTTTGTTTCTGCTTTTTCCTCCTGAAGTCTTCAATGGACTGAGCAAAGCCTCCTTCCCACCATTGCCAGCAGAAAGAATCCAAGGAACATAGACCAGGAATTGAGGGACAGAATGTGTGTCCTTAGATGTCACCCTGGGAGGACCTGTGTGAAACAGAAGTAGGAACCCAGCATCCAGCTCCTGGTCTTTTTAAGGAACACTGGACAGTTGACAGATATACATGTCATCCTCGGAACGGGGCCATGCTAACATCCAGACTGTTGTCCTTTTCTCTCCTCTCGGCTCTCCTCTCCTCCTCACTGGAGATGGAATGTATATCCTCCATACTGAGCCCCAGCCCCAGAAAGGGTGTTTAATAGGTCAGGACCACAGAGCTGATTATGGATGCATCTGTAGATATTCCTTCACTTTGTTACTCAAGATCTGGGGCCACTTCTCTGCTGTGACAGTACTTGGGTCTGACCCGACTGCCCATCACAATAGCCATTTCAACTACCGGCCAAGACTCCTTTGGGGGGAAGAAGTCTCCTGTTGAGATTTGGAGGGTGAGCTGGCCTGTCAACAGTGGGCAGTGGGGCCCTTGGCCCTGATTTCTTTCCATACCCCAATGTGTGTTTGAAACTGGGTCCCACTTTATAGCCCAGGCTGCCTTTGGATCTAGCCTTCCAAGTGCTGGGTTTCCAGGTGTACATCACCAGTCCAGTTTTGTCTCTTTAGAAACAAAAAAATGCTTAAAGTATTTTATGTGCATGGGAGCTTTGCCTGCATCAGGCATGTTTGTGTGCCATTTGTATGTCATGCCTGGTCCCTGCATAAGTCAGAGGAGGGTACCAGATCCCCTGGAATTCAAGTTACAAATGGTTGTGAGCTGTCATGTGGCTGCTGAGAAACCTGGGTCCTTTGCAAGAGTCCCCAGTACTTTTTAATAGCTGAGTCATCTCCCCAGGTCCTTGGCTCTCATTCTTTCTCAAGCCAGTATTTCCTAGGATTGAGAGCCCAGATGATGTGGGTGGGTCTTGTGCACAGAACTGGAATCTTCTTGGCCACTGTGTGTGTGTGTGTGTGTGTGTGTGTGTGTGTGTGTGTGTGTGTGTGTGTGGTGAGAGGACAACCCATAGGGAGTTTGTTCTCTCTCTCTCCACCACGTGGATGCTGGGGATAGAACTCGGGTAGCTAGGGTTGGCAGGAAGCAAGCAACCCTTACCCACAGAGTCAGCCTGCTCCGCCTAAAACTTTAACCCCCAGAATTGGTTTTCTTTTTCTAGTTCTGAATTGAGTCACTACATTGATTTTCGGTGTTTCTAGGAAAAAGTGGTGCCTTGTATTTGTGGGTAGCAGTTGGCTTTCCGCTGAATGGGCTTGTTTTTAACTGAGCCAAGTTCTAGAAAGCTGGCTCTAGATACAGATTCTGTCCCTTTCTGTTCTTGATCTGCCTGTCACAGCTCCTCAATCATACCCTGTGACGTGTCTGCCACCCCCCTAAAAAGCCTGCCCAGAACCTGCTGTCACCTCCTCCCCTGCAGCGTCTTGTTTGGGTACCTTTCTCCTTTTCCATTCTCTAAACACTTGTCCCTGACCTCAGTAAAAGCAGCAACCTGGAGCTCGTGGAGGAGGAAGGACAAGCAGTTAGGGTAAACATGGTCTCCGGGTTGTGGGAACAGCTATGATCACAAAGCCATAGACTGGTGTCTCCCTGGGGATATTCCCTGGGACAGGCCAGCCGAGGGACAGTCAAGGGGCCCCATCTGGGTTAAAAAGTACCCTCTCCATTATTTCTGGATCCTCACACGATCCTGGGCTGGGGAAGAGCAGATTTCACCAAGTTCATTTTCTAGAGGAAAACCAAAGGCCAGAGGGGACTTGCTTTTCTCCAGATTTGCTCAGGAGGGCCTGAGCTAGAATCCAGGAACAGCATTATCACGTCATCATGTTTACATGCCTTGGTACAGACATCAGACTCTGGTCATCTGCTTTATGGCCATAGTTCTTCCCACCCTAGGTCTCACAGAAGCAAAGAGCACCCGAGAACTAACAGGAGAAGCAGAGGTGTTTATTAATGTCTGGCAGATGAGGTGAAGGTGGAACTAGGCATGGGTAGGCCTAGGGCAGAGAGCCAGAAGACCCCTTGGAGCAGGGACCTCTCTGTCCCTGCCTCTACCCAGCACCCACCCCAGCTGCCTTCCACCTGCTCCTGCCCCCCCAAGAGCACAGCACCAAGAACACAGGATCCCGGCTCAGGGCAGAGCCCAGAACCCAGGCTTCCCTCTCCCATGGCGGGAGAAGTGGGGGTGTCCCAGGAACCCCTTGGCCCTGCTGCCATAATAAAGTTTCAAAGCCCCTTGTCTGTCCCCGGAACAGAACAAACACTGGTTCTCTGTGGTGGGAGTGGGGAACTGCCTCCCAGTAAGACCTAGGCAGAGGCCAAGCGGAACTCCTGGGGGCAGAGGTGAACCACAGTGGACTCCAGCGTCGCTGCCTTTAGACTTGTCCTGCCTCCCCTGTCCTTCCTGCAGACTCTGGTGAGTCTGGCCAGGAGTAAGATGGGATAGTGGAGAGCTGATCCTAGAGACGTCTGTGGGTATGAGCACGAGGGCTTCCCCAACACCAAATCTGTTGATATGTACACTGGGCAGCCCCACCCATGGCAAGGGGAAGCCACTGGGGCCTAGTAAGAATAGCCACCTTTGTGGCTAAAGGGCTGAGCGGGGCCAGCCAGTTCTGGGAGGTAGGCAGGGCTCTCATCCAAGTGGGACAAAGGGACTGTGTCCTCCTCACTGACTGGCCGGTCAAACTCGGCCTTCAAAGCTGGACGCTGATTATCTGGGAAGGCCAGGGAGAACAGGGCCTCGGGCTCACACACAAACTTGTACACGTAACGTTCGCCAGCCACCTGTGGAGAGAGGGCTGTCAGGCCAGACATGTGTACCCTGCCTCAGCAGGGAATTTAGAAGATCCTGCCCTTCCCATGGATCACAGAAACACATCAGGACCCCTTGCCTTCCCCCATTGGTTCCTCTTGAAACCCACTCTCTTCGGGATTGTTCACACATTTCAATCTCAGCATGCTTAGGGACCGCTCGGTTTAGCAACTTCCCAGAGGAACGGTGGGATTTACATTTTAGCGTGTTCTCTCTCGGCCCACAGCCCTCCCTCCAACCCTCCTCATGGTCATGCCAAGACCTCACCCGACCTTCTGCATGATGCCTTTCTCATAATAGTATCGCAGTGAGCGGCTCAGCTTGTCGTAATTCATGGCTGGCCGGTTCTTCTGGATGCCCCAGAGCCTGGCGACCTGGGGACAAGAGACAAAGTATTTGGGTGGAGATGCCATCTCTGAGGAAAAATGGGGGGCAGGGGAGGGTGGAAAGCGCATTTGAGATTCTTGGTGCTGAGATCATCTTGACTTGTTACCATACAACGGACTCAGACTAGGTCAGCAGCCCGAGGGTGACAGTGAAGGCAAGGACCATCCTTTCTCCTCTCCAGGCTCCTGAGGTGCTGGAGAGGAGGGGTGGGAACCAACACCCACCTCTTCAGGTTCAATTAGTTTAAACTCCATCCCCCGGCCTGTCCACGCAATGAAGTGAGCATTGGTTGGGTCATCCAGCAGGGCCACCAGAAACTGCCACAGTTGCAAGGCACCCCGGCGCTGGTAGGGTGGCCCCTCCCGGAAAGCTCCAACCCCTTCCTGCTTGATGTCTCCTGGGAAAGTGGAAATAGGTGTGAGGTACATATCCCCGAACCAACCTCCTTCCCTTCCCATGGGACGTCCCCAAACTTTCCTGTGTGCCCCGACCTCTCCCAACAGTGAAATGTGACTCTTATAGGACCCAGTGTGATGGGGTGGAGAAGAAGGGCCCTGACCATCCTCTGCAGACTCTTCTCTGACCTTCAAATTTTTCAGGGACAATGCAGACATCATCTGGGAATGGTCGAAGAGATTTCTCATAGCCATAACCTTGTGGAGGAAGTTGGGGATTGCTCAGATCTGAGGCTTCACTGATTGGAGACCCCACACAATCTAAAGGCACTCCTGCCTGGGGTGACTCTCCCGGATGCAAGGATCCCTCCCCCCATTAGGAGGCCTTAGCCAGGGAAGGAAGGGGCTGCCTTACCTATCACTCCATCACCTGGAGAGGGCCCAGAGAAGCCCTCTGCGTGGAGATACATGGATGCACACCCAGGGACATCTGGGGGAGGGAAGGAAGGATGATGCCGTTAAGTGACTGAAGTGAAGCAGAGAAGCAGGGGAGGAAGAAGCCCTACGCACACTCAAGAAGTTCGTGTCGCTGGCCTGCGGTCCAGCGACTGTCCTTTTGCTACCAAATCCCAGGGGAAGTTCACCCAGAGGGAGCTGGAGGCTTGAGGCCCCCAGTTTGAGGGCTGGGGCAGAGGGCATGGGGGCAGCAGCTGGGACCAGGCAGCCTGTTCAGCAAGGCCCAAGATTCCAGGGAGCAGCTGTTTCCTGTGAGTTCAGGGGAAGGAGGGGGTGAGAGATGAACCTCCGGAGGCTGGGAAGGGTTCGTCTAAGACTTCCTCTGAATGGGCACATGTCCGGTCAGCAGGTCAGGTTCCAAGCCCAGTGGTCTGTTTTTGTTTCTGTTTCTCTCTCTCTCTCTCTCTCTCTCTCTCTCTCTCTCTGTGTGTGT